CTTTTCTATTCTTTCTAGCAACAATAAAATAACCTATTATTCTTTATTCCTTATTGGGCTTAAAACTAATACACCCCCTTATTACTACTTCCATTCCTTAAAAACAAGCCCACATTAAATAATATTATACTTCTAATATTATTTCACTACTTAATAAAATGATTAAATCCAATTAATCATAACACATCTTCTCAAATATTCCAAAAATAATTTAATTAAATAATTAATTAAATTACGGGCGTTACACTGGTGAATACAAATCAGTGACAAAAATAAGGAAATAGATCAAAGAAATGGAGCCTCGTTCTCCACGGATTGCTTACGATTTCGCTACCTTTTTTCGGTGATTTTGCGGTGAGATCTCTCTTTTTCTTTCTTCTTCTTAGTCGTGAAAATCGCGATCTCTTTATCTTCTGAAGGGTTTGTGGTATATGGAAGATGATGATAATATTGTAGGGTTTGTGTATATGCTGATGTTTTTTGTCTGTGTGAATGGTATCTCTCTTTCTCTGAAGGGTTTGGGATCTGTGGATGATGATGATACAATTTTCTTTAGGGTTTGATGGTTGTTGACGTGGCTGTTAGGGTTTGTGTTTTGAACAATCCTACCTTTCTATCTGTTTTGTCTCTGTTATATATTCAAGAGAAAAGGATTTTTGGGGGGAAACAATAACATGATTTTGAACAGATTTGTAGCCCTGTTTTGTGGCCCTTTTTGATGCAGCTTATGTTTGTCGATCTTTGTGTGATGTTTAGATAGGTTTTGGAGTATTATGGATTGGTATGGACAGTATAGTAGACTGCTTTCTTGCAGGGGCAGCAGATATGCAACAAGTGTTTTGGCATGTTCTGTTTGACTTATTTCATTTGGTGTTACCGTAAAACAAATTGTTGGTAATGTTTTTATTGACTTTGTTACTACAGTAATTGGTTTTGAATCTCTTTTCAGATTTGTTTTATTTGAGATTTGCATCTGTTATTATGTTGGGGCCGGAAATACAACTTTGTTTGCATCCTGTTTTATTGCAAGGACTCTCTTTTTCTCTTATTGTGAACCAAAATGATCTTTTGTGATTTGCAGTAGGAGATAAAGCCCATGATTTAAAACTTTGAAATCTGATTTGTATGAGGCTTTGAGTTGGGCTTAGCACATGATTGAAAACACCCTCTAAATTTCTGATTCCAAACACAAACCCTCATGATGAGATTAGAATAAAATTTGCTTGACACTTCTTGTTTAAATTTAAATGTTTTGATGATGATGGTTTCAACTAACACCTTGTTTATTTCTTTTTTCATGTGGGGGTTGATGGAAGGTAAAGAAGGCAAGGCAAAGCAAGGTTGAAGACTTGAAGAAGAAGTCTTGGCAAGGTGTGAGGACAAGAATAATGAAAGTATGGACATGAAGTTCCTTAAACTTAGGATAAAGTCTCGTATAACTCCTTTTGTGTAATGTGACCTTGTAATGGTAATCTAAATTGAATATGTTCTTCAAAAGTCCTTTTTCTCTTTTAAGTTTCCAATCCTTTTTCTTTTGATTTTGTATTCCAAAGTTGTGATATCACTTAGTATGAGGTTATGAAATCTTGATGAATGCTTGAATGATGTATGACCTTTAATCATGGTGAATGCCTAATTCTTATAACTTGAATATCAAGAAATCCACCTTCAAATTTGCATGCTTAGGACCTTGACAACTTTGAACCAATTTGAACTCAATTTGAATTCAATGATATTTTTGGATGCAATTTAAAATTAACTCAATGAAACTCCTCATATCACTTGTATCACGGCTCCAACTTCTAACAATTCAAACTCTCATCTCGTTATTATCGGGTATTGAAAGCAACAAGCAAAATCCTTGATCACAACTTCATCTCTCGGGCCAGGGTTTGTTCTTTGTAGTTCACACCAACAACCCTTGAAATAATGATCAATAATCTCAAAATGTATATTTAAGATGTATAAGATTTGTCATTGAAACCCTAATCATTCTTTCATTGAGAAACACTAACAAAATCCCACACCAACAATAAGAAACCATAATCATGAAGTACACTGACACAAGAAAGCCCTTTATGCTGAGAGAAACCCTAAAACCCTAATTCACTCCATACTTAAAAAATTGCAACCCCGATCTTCTGAGAAATACAGAGAAGTGCACTCTGATCCAAAATCTTGGTGAATATGGGTGAAGAAAGAAGTGCACAATAATGAATCACAACCCTAGCTCACACTCCATTGTTCAAACAAGAAAAACTAGAAGGACCAGTCTTATTGATATAGAATCCTCAAAACCAATGTGAAGCCCTAGCTTGAATGACCACTGATTTTTTTTTGAACCAAAGTGCTTTATTCAATGAAATACGTGATATGTAAGTGAACTAGTGAAGATGATGTACATGAAATGCGAATTCTAAACCAAACAAAAATAAAAAATAGGACAAATTTAAAGTATGACAAGATCTTCTCCATTTTTCATAAGAAATAGACGTGTTCATTATTATAGTTATGAAATAAATAAAATATATAAATGAACATATTTCCAAAAGTGATTATATTCATAATATATTTATACATCAAAACTATAATAATAAACTCTTCTATTTATTTTGAGAAATCGTGAAGACTTTTACTATAATTTTTTAGTTTAAGAATAATGTTAATTAGGTCGTGGTCGTGGATGCTCTAAAAAAGGAATGATGAAAAATGTAGGAGTTTTTTTTTGGAAAGAAAAAATTACATTCAGTGTGAATAAATAAATAAATAAATATTTTAGAATTTTCATACAATTTGGAGGGGAGACTAGTAAGTCCTAAGAGTGTGAATGTGTGATGTAGATCGTTAGTTTAAAAGCTTCTCTAATCTCTATAGCATTTTAACTTATATGATTTGTACACATATATATAATTAGTTTTTGTTTGTTTTATTTTCTTTAAAAAATATTATACAATTACAAATTGGAAAAATTAAAATTGCACAACAATGACACATAGGAACAAAACTGTAATTAACTTTTTTTCAACTCACACATTTTTGAAGAAACGAAAATATATTAATCCAAAAATAGTTGATACAAAACCGATCCAGAGATCCAGAGATCCAGACCCAAGACAACAACAGTCAACAAAGGCTAATAGCCTAAGCAGCTATAAACAAACAAAACTCAAGGACTAGCCCTATTTTTCCCATACACATATCTATTCTATTCTTTAACTCCCCCAATTGGAAAAAATCTTTAGTATGATTCTGGAAGATAATCATGTTCCGGGTAGTCCAAATACTATAAATGGTTTCCGCAATAATCACTTTAGATTTCCTACACTTCATACTTTTGCCTTTTGTATTATTAATGGTCCAATCCATACCCATAATCCAATTGTTAGTCCAACGTTGCATCTCATCCCACTCAAATATTTGGCTCCAAATGTTCTTCGCAAAGTCACACTCAAAAAGGAGATGCTGAATACTCTCATTCATTCCGCAAAACACACAAAAGCCATCATTTTGGATTTCGAACCTGCGCAACCTATCCTTAGTAGGCAGTCTACCTAGAAATGTCATCCAAGTGATAAAAGTGGCTCTAGGCTGAGCACAGTTACCCAGGAGAATCTTTTTCTACCTAACTTTGGGTTTCTCCCCCCTAAGCAACTTGTACATGTCTCTTGTAGAATACCAGCCCCTACTCCGGAACTCATCCCATATCGTCGAACTCATCAACTCCTCCTTGTGCTTGAATATCGCTTTCATAATCCAAGAGGCATGGATAAGAGGGTGATAGTCCTTAAAATCCGTTCCCTTCATATAAAAGTGGTGAATCCAAGTTATCCATATTCTATCTTTCTTAGCATTCAAGACCCAGAGCATCTTACCAATCGAGGCATTGTTCCACTCATAAAGCGCAATCATGTTTAGACCACCCTCCGCCTTCGGTCTGCAAATTTGGTCCCAAGAAACTGGGGCTTTTCTACTGCTAGATACTCTACCGGACCATAGGAATTTCCTGCATAATCCCTCAATGTGTTGAATGATTTTCTTACATTATTAACTTTAATCAAACGGTGAAAACCAGTAATTAAGTTAACAAAAATGATATTCTTACATTATTTCTTTACACATATAATATATACGATAAACAGTAAAATATTATAATAATAATTTTTTTAAAAATTGAGAGAGTACAAAAACAAGATTAATTTTTTTTAATTTTATTTTTATTTTTTAAATTCAGAGAGTATAAAAACAAAATTATATGATTAATAAATTTCATAATTTTATTAATTAACTTTTTAATATTTTATTAATCAATTTTACAACTACTAAAAATCTGAATAGTTTATTAACCAACTTGATAAATTTATTAACTAATTTTTTATATTTTATTAATCAATTTTATTTTATTATTAAAATTTATTTTTAATATCAGAATGTTTATTAATCAATTTCATCATTTTATTATTAATTTTATATATTTTATTAACAAAATTTATTTTATTATTTATAAAAATCATTATTCATATAATATCGAATATTATTTACCATTTAATATTATTTTATTAAAAAATATTATTCACCGTATAAATACCATCATTAGTATATTCAATATAACTATTAGTGTAGAAATAGCAAACTGTTAAGTTAAATTACAAAATTAAACACATATTACTCAGTAACAGAAATCAATGAGAAAAAGTTATTCCATCTAAGTGCAAAGTTTGCATGTTGCACATCTCTCTTTCCCATTTGGAGATCACGTTTTTTTCACTTATTCTTTTACTTAAACAAAACAAACCTCTCTCCCCATTTATCTTTTTATTCTCACTACTTTAGTTCAAAACAAAACTAGTACTAAATTGCAGCAGAGTGTTGCAGTTAGCAACAACACTATCACACTTTCTTAATTTTATTCTCATCTTTTATGTTCCCATTTTACCCTAATTTAAAACCTATTCAAATATAAAAACCAACAACCCTAACTCTCTCTCTCTCTCTAGTATCAAATGGAGGAGTACAAATGCAAACTTTGTACAAGATCATTCATCAGTGGCAGAGCACTCGGTGGCCACATGAAAGCTCATCTAGCCATCCTCCCTCACCACCACCGTACTCCTCCCTCTTCTTATTCAGATGAAAATCTGTCAGATCCTAAGTTTTCTTTCTCAACAAAAACAGAGTACATTCTTCATGACAGAGAGAGTGAAACTGAGTCAAAACACCCGACTCAGAAACGATCCAACCGAAACAGAAACTCAGAACAAAAGAAGCTTAAACAGAGTTTAATAGCTTCGCATTCACCACAAACACCGATTAGTTCCATTTCCGAAACTTCTCCGGAAGAAGAACTTGCTAAAACTCTCATGATGCTATCAAGAGATCAATGGAACACCGACGTTGCTGTCAAAGAAGAATCACAAGAAGTTGAAAGATCAATGGAAGATATCAAGTTCAGAGAAGTTAGTAGGAGGCGTAAATGCTACGAATGTGGACAGAACTTTCCAAGTTCAACAGCAGTTAAAAGTCACAAAAACATTTGTCTTCAAAATGAACCTGCAACAACAAGTGGCGGTGATCATAAAATATTCAAATGTTTGGTTTGTTCTAAGGTCTTTGGTTCTGGTCAAGCACTAGGTGGTCACAAGAAATCTCACCTTCATAAGAAAAAACTCTGTTTCATCGATCTCAACTTGCCACCTTCGCTACAAGAAAACCATGATCGCATCAACTAGTTGCTCTAGACGTTTTACATTGTATGATTTTATTTTAATTATCTTTTATTGTTTAGATTAAGTGTTTTCAGTGGAACAATCATTATCAACATATAGCTTATGATTTATGTTTTCACCAACTGTTTGAAATATGGTAGATAGTTAGGATTTGATAGTTTCCTTCATTGTACTCAATTTGGCTTCTCTTCTCATAGTAACTAACTTGATGCTTTCAAACTTGCAATGCAAAATGGTTGTGGACCTAACTCACTGACCAACAAACTGCTTTTTCACGTTTGTATGTACTGTATTGTATGTACTGAAATATGCTCCAATTCTATTTATGTGATTTGATTCTGTTAGAGATGGTGTCTTATTTGATACCCGGTTAAGAGTTACTAAATGTTACTGTATTAGATAAAATTAATTCAAATTTTAAATCGATTCATATTTGTGATATTATCATTAAAATATAAGCTTTACAAACTTATTGGTAAAATAAGTGTCTTTTCTTTTCTTTTTAGGATATAATGTTAAAATAAGTGTCTAACCACTAGGCATTTGGGTGTTTTTGTTTCGTTGGAGCCTTAGCAACAGCTGTTGGAGGTTGGAGATAATTGAAATAAGTGGGGCATTTGTTTGTCTTTATTTTTGCTTAATTATATTTTATCTTATTTATGAAAATAACTTTTCATTTTAAATTTTAAATTTTAAATTTTAAATTTAAACTTATTATCTTTTAATTGTCACAACTATTATAGTTTTGGCAATGATCTGATTTAGCTTATTCACCCGGTAACTATTGTTCACTCCTTCTTTTCACTCTTACAGTCATACATACATTTTCTAATTCAATGGAAGCATTAATGAAAGAAAAAAATTACAAACTTCTTTGCATTCTCTAACTTATTTCGGTTTTCAACTCAAACAATATTAAATTATATTTAAGAATTTATCGATTTTGATTTTGTTTCTTTTGATTGAATTTCATAAATTTAAATCAGAAACAAAATCAAAATCAATGAATTGATAACGATAATTTTAAAGTTGTTTGAATTGAGAACTCAAACAAGTTATAAAAAATCAAAAAAATATTTTATATTTTTTTCTACTAACATATTTAACTCCGTGAAATTAAAAACTGTATATAAGAGTAAAACAAAAGTCACAATTGGATTGAATTTCCGTCATCACTTTTTTTTGAGCAAATTAAAACTAACTTTTATCATTCAATATCAAAAGTTCAATACAAGGAGGGATTACATGAATAAAACTACGTCTAGCCCATGAATTGATCGCCTTTGCTAACGAATGAGCAATTATATTCGCTTGACGTTTAACAAACTTTACCTCGAAGTTGTTTAAATTTAGTAATAACAATTGAATCTCTCTTATTATTGAATAAAACTCGGAGTTACCTACGGTAACTGATTGAATTGCTTGCAACACTTTAAGAGAACAACTTTCAAAAATAATCCGATCAAAATTCAATGACATAACGCCTTGGACTGCTTCTTTGAGTGCTAAAGCTTCCGCTTTTAGAACAAAAAGTTTATCGGGGTTCCAAGCTACTCCAGTTGATATAAAAGTCACCTGACTCGTCTCTTAGGCACCAACCTTTATTCGATGTATCTCTATTACTATTAAAACCCACATCCACGTTGCACTTGATCCAACCGAGAGGAGGCGGGTCGCATTTGGGTCTCTCTTCATGTTCATTAGTCCAGATAAGATCATTTATATTCTTCCATATAGCCTCGATCTTTACTGTAACTCTACCCGCAATATTTTTATTTTCCTTACCACAAATGTTAAGAATGAGTGACTTTACATCATTAAAAGAATAAGTTCTATGATAAATAATATTGCTCAAACATGTTGCTTCCCAACAAATATAACTATTTGGGCAACCAAAGAAGATATGTTAGTCATCCTCATTATTATTTTCGCAAAATGGGAAATCTCCTGTGCACTGAACATGGTGTTGCCTAAGACGCGTGCGGGTAGGCAAGCAATCCTGATAAATTTTCCATAAAAGATGTTTCACTCTAGCAGGAGCTTTGATATTCTAAATACTATTCCAATTTACATTGTCATTCGATTTAGGAGGCTTTTCCTGAGCATTCCTCCACACCTTATACCCCGACCGAACACTATAACTACCACTTTGCTCCTCATTCCACACCATTCTATCCTCTGTAACCTCCTTCACTAGCAGCACTTGAAAAATAACAACCACTGTTGCATAATAAAAAATTTCACGTAAAACTCTCATGTCCCATTGTTTAACATTAGTAAGCATGAGATTTCTAACAGTAATATCACACGCACCTTGCTTATACGACCCATTCAAGCAACCTTCTCGACTCCCTCGAAGCCAAGGTTTATTGATCATATTAATTCTACTACCATCACTAATACTCCACTTGCAACCAAGTGTTAGAACATCTCTAGCTTTCCAAATACTCCTCCACACACAGCTAGGATTATACCCTGGTTTAATATCAAAGTAAAAGGTTCTAGAGAAGTACCTTGCTTTAAAGATGCGTGAGACTAGGGCTTAAGGTTTAGACATAATAAACCAACCTTGTTTAGCTACCATCGCCATGTTGAAAGCTTTAAAATATCGAAAACCCATCCCTTCTTCCTTCTTCGTATATGTGAGTCTCTCCCACGCCATCCATAGTATTCCTTTCTTGTTATTATCTCCCCTCCACCAAAAAGAGTTTAACATCTTTTCAATATCATTAATCGTCTAATCCGGGAGGATATAAACACTCATAATATAAGATGGAATAGCTTGTAGCATAAATTTAATCATAACCTCTTTACTGGCCTTATACAATGAATGTCCTCTCCACGAGTTGATTCTTTTCCAAATCTGATCCTTGATGAAGGAAAAGGTTACCTTATTACTCCTACCAATCATAGACGGTAAACCTAAATAAGTTCATGTCCCATGACAAGTCGCACCCCCATTATGTTAGCAAGATCCTCTTTTGCCCGCATTGACAAATTATTACTAAAGAACACTTTGGACTTTGACAAATTTATTTCCTTCCCCGACGCTTCGGTATAAGTTTTGAGTAAACTCATAAGATTTCTCACTTCAGATAGATTAGCCCTGTAAAACAAAAAACAATCTTCAGCAAAAAGCATATGGTACACACTTGGTGCCCCTCTACAAATCTGGATCCCATGGATATCACCCTTCGCCATTGCGCCCTTTATAAGGGCTGAAAGACCTTCTGATATAAGTATAAAGAGATACGAAGACAGTGGGTCTCATTGTCTCAATCCTCTTCCTGGTTCAATAGGTACGATACTTTCAAGGTTAACTAGAACATTATAATGCACTGAACTAACAGACATCATTATCAAGTGGATCCATCTGTTCGCAAAACCCAACTTTTTCAGCATCTCCTTCAGAAATCCCCAATCTACCCTATCATAGGATTTACTGATATCAATCTTAAGTGCCAGGTGCGCCTTGGCACCCTTAGTCTTTCTTTTAAGAGCATGAATAACCTCACTTGCAATCACGATGTTATTCAAAATAGATCGACCCTCCACATAAGCTGATTGCTCCTCTGGCACACACTTCTCTTATAACAACTTCATACGATTAGCAAAAACTTTGGAAACCACATTATAGATCACATTGCACAAGGAGATGGGCCGGAAATCTTTCATATTTTTAGGTGGAGAACATTTAGGAATCAAAGAAATATTAATATCGTTAATCGAAGTCGGAAAAAAACCTTGGTCCAACCAAACCTTTGCTGCCCCAAAAATATCATCACCACAAATGTCCCAAAAATTATGATAGAATACCGAGTTAAACCCGTCCGGACCCAGAGACTTGTTTGGGTGCATTTCCAAAAGAGCCAAATTAAATTCTTATTTGTTGAAATCAGCCAGCAACCTTCCATTATCCACTTCATTTACCACTGTTTTAACATGGTGAATTACTGACTCATATTCCCTTCCATAGCGGTAAAAAGGTCTTCAAAGTAATCACCCAGCTCCCACTGATTCAAAATAATACTACCATCCTCCCTGCTCAACTTCTCTATCTTCTTGAATTTATTTCTAGCCGTAGCAGATTGATGAAAGAACTTCGTATTTAGATCCCCATCTTTGAGCCAATGCATCTTGGCCCTCCGTCTCCAATACGTACCTCCTGAACAAGAAGCTTATTGTATTGGCTTTAAGCTTCAGAAAAAATGGCAGTTGTATGAGTGTCATGATCACCATAATTTCTCTCCATTACCTCCAAATGATGTGCCAACTCCTTCATGGCTTCTCTTCTATTGTTTCGGTTTCGTCTTTACCTTTTAAACATATAGTTTAGTTTAAAATTACCGTAACAAATCAAGGAGGTGTAAAAAATAAGTTAGAACCAAAACTATAATAAACATGTCAAATAAAAGATAATAAATTGTTTGATTGAGAAGTAAGATAAAATGGAGAGTGTGAAAAACTTTGTAGCTTTGTTTTCACTTATATGTCCATCTCCATCTAACATCAAATAAATGAATTGAATTATCTAACATCAAATAACTAATCAATGAGGATTTATTTCTCCACCCTATGTATTTCCGAAAATGCCTCTTAGAACCGGAAATATATTTCATGTGTGCACCTTTTTTCTGTTAAACCTTGACTAGAAACTGAAAATACATTTGCAAAGTGATCCGGAAACATATTTTCGATTTCTATACAAATAGTACCAGAAAGACTTATGATGGCAGTAAAAAATGTGTTTGTAGTCAATATAGGAGGTAACCCAAAATATTATCCAAATATAATCAATAAAACGATAACAAAAATACATATACAACAACAAAGACTTCTAGGTATGGCAGACTCTGAGTCGACCTATCACCCTCCTGGCGTTCCTCTGTTGCCTCTTGTAAAGCAGAGCCCCATGAGCCTCCACCATGATGGCATCCAAAACACCTCTAACATAGAATCCATCATGAAACAAACCTTCATCAATACCCTCTTACGCGATCTTC